CCTTCACAAAACTTGCATCCTCGATACAAACTTCCAGCAGGCTTGTGGCCTGTGACACGCACCATTGCATAAAACCCGTCTGATTTCACTTTCTCATCGGTATTGAGAGAGGAGTGATTGCTCTGTTACAGACTAATTCTTATTCGGCTGAATTTATAGCGTTCCGTGCATGGTAATGCACATGCGTAGGCGTGAACGGGCCCATGTACTTTCCCTTTCCTTTCACTCTAAACTGCAGCTGGGATTTCTACTTGCAATGCATCTTCATGCCGCAAAATGCTTGAGGATTGCTGCAAGAAAACGGGCAAGTGTGAATAGGCCCTGAAGGCTTTAGTGTATTTTCACACTGTTTCCATTTCCCCTACAAGTCTTTGATTGTTCGTTCTGTGTAAATCAATGCAAAGAAGAACGTTCTTAGTAGGGATGCACCAATACCGTTTTTTCGGTACCGACTACCTGGCATGGAGCCAGCTTCCCGGGCAAGTTAGGTTGAGGTGGGATAGGCTTCCTTGAAGAGCATCAGGAAGCCGGTGGGGAGTAATGACATGCCGCCCGGCTTCCTGATTTGCCAGGGAAGCCGGCTTCCCAGTCAAGGAGCTAGCTTCCCGACCAATCAGGGAGCTGGGAGGCGGGTCATTACTCCCCACCTGGCTTCCTGATGCTCTTCAGGGAAGCCTATCCCACCTCAACCTAACCACTGAACCATCCCATTCTCAAACAATCCATCCCCACAAGCTACCTCCTCATATATCACTTGCACCTCCCTTTTAGATTGTAAGCGCTCACGGGCAGGGTCCTCCTTACCATCTTGTTTTGAGTTGTATTGTGATTCTAATGTCTTCCTCCTATTGTAAAGCGCTGCACAAACTGTTGGCGCTATATAAATCCTATATAATAATAATAATACAGGGGGAGGTAATGGTGACCATGGTAAAGGAAGCTAGGGGGGTTTTATATATTGTGCAGGCTTTGGCCCAACTTCCCTGACTTTGCTATTTTGCTGCATTGTGCACAGCCCAACGTACTGGTATGGTTGTACCAAGTGGTTTGGCATAGGGCACTGTCGGCATGCAGATTTGCTTACAAAGTGAACAGTGCACCTTGGCTGGCTCAAAATCCGTTTCCTCTGTTGATAAATTTGTCCCTTTTTAACAAATGAAGCAGCAGAGCTTCTAACTTACTCCCCTTGTAATCTCTTGACTTCTGTAACTCCCTTCTTGTTGGCCTACCACTAAGCAGGCTATCCCCCTTCCGTCTATCATGAATGCTGCTCCTAGACTCCTCCACCTAACCCAACCGTTCACTGTCTGCTAATCTCTCCACTGGCTCCCACTTGCCCAACAAATAAAATACAAGCCACTAACCGTAACATACAAAGCCATCTAAAACTCTGCCCCCAACTACATCACCCACCTCAAAATATCACCAAGACCTCCTGCTCTCCAGCTCTCTCATCACCTCCTCCCATGCTCACCTCCAGGACTTCTCCAGAGTGTCCCACATCCTCTGGAACGCCCTAACCCAAGCTGTCCACTTATCTCCTGCTCTGACCACAGTGGCCATATACTGTGCAAATTTTGGCTGGTTCTTAAGGAACTGGACAAAATTTGTACAGGGGTGCTGCTGTCGGCACTCTTTCAGCCGGTTGGAAAATCTTCATAGCTGTACCCAATGAGCTGAATCACCCACCCCCCCTTTTCATATCAGATTTGTCCCCCCTTCCCCATCACATCACAGCCCCCTCTTTAGAAAAACGTTGAAGGCACCCCAGACAATGCCCTGGCCGTGTTTGAGAAAGGCTGCTATAGAAGAATCTATGTAAATATTTTTGCGCCTGAGGTTCACCTTTTTTAAATGACTTGTTTTTCGTGTTTTCTGTGACCTACACATTTTCTGCTGCCCCAGTAAAATCTCATCTCCACCCTAAACCATGGCCACGTTCAGCGGGTGACACCATCGGTGAATAAAGTTGAAGGGAGGGAGAGGGGGAATACAGGGCTGTCTGTATCAATTGTGGGACCCAGACTTCCAGATAAAGCCATTCTTCCCTGTAATGGTTTTATGAGGTCGAGTCCTCTCTAATGGAGAGGAGAGGAGCCCAGGAATCGGGGAGTTTGAAGTTTGTTATTTTGTCTGGCATGCTTTTCTCTTTGAAATCAGATCACTCTCCAGTTCTGCTTTCCTGAGGAGGTCCCTCTGCTGTTGAGGAGGAGTAGGAGTGGTGATAATACAGAGTTAGCTTTTTTGCTGGCGCCAGAATGACTGTTTATCTGGAGATCTCGCCAATTACAGGCGCTTTCTTAAAGCTGCAGTTACCACTACCCCCTTCCTCTCCTTCTGCTCTTATTCAGAGGCCGTCTGTCCTAGGAAATTGCATCTATTCTCTTCCAGACTCTATAAAGAGCTGAATGAGAGAGCCCCTCCCCAACCCCCTAATATGGCTTTTTTTGTTACTGTTTTCCTTCCTATCTTTTCTCTCCATTTCCTTTATTTTTATTTTCTGAGTTCTACTTCATTGCCGGGTTCTTCTTGTAACCAGTCAGGTCACTGAGATTTTATTTACTTAAACCGACAATTTACGGAGCACTTTACATAGTTGCACATTCACATCAGTCCCTGCCCTCAAAGAGCTTACAATCTAAGGTCCTTATCTCACCTGCATACATACACATATAAGGGCCAATTTAGACTGGAGCCAATTAACCCTCCAGCATATCTTTGGAGTGTGGGAGGAAACCGGAGTACCTGGAGGAAACCCACACAAGCACAGAGAGAACATGCAAACCTCTTGCAGATAGTGACCTGGCTAGGATTCGAACCGGGGACCCCAAGTGCGGAAAGGAAGAAAATGTTAACCACTAAGCCACATATTGTGAGTTGAAGGGTATCTATGGTCAAAAAAAGGAAAATAAATCCGTATTTATATATTCAGTGCCCATGAGTTCTATTTCGTCCCTATGTTTCCCTGATGAAGGGACCCTGTGCGGGCCCGAAACGTTGGCTATGTGACGTTTTATTTTAATAAATGAACATCAAGATTTGAACGTCATCTTCTGAGTGCTGATGATCCTCATTTTCCATAAGTTCTATCCTTCTCCTAAAAAAATCACATTGATCTACAAGTTTGTAAACTTGCCTATAGGATGTACTTCCTACACTGACACAATTTCACTCAGCCCAGAGAATATGCACTTGCTTGTGTCGTCACATTAACTAAGCCTTCTGGCTGAACAACAGCTAAACTTCCCTTAATGTAACATTATCGTTGCTTGCTGGAAGCAATGCACGATGGGATATATAGTTTTGAGAAATCATGATTGCATCACATCAAGCAGCAGAGAAAGAGACACAAAGCACACTGGGAATCCAGGAAGTTGGTGAAAGTGATGGGCAGACAGAAGGCAGCACTCAATACATAAAAGGGATTTTTTCATTCAGCTTTGATTTGCATTATGAAAAACCACTCTAGTATGTATTCCTATTACACTACTGATGTCCTAACAGGATAGCACATGCTGGACTTCACAACTCCTTTAAAGGTTGGAAGAAGTCCACCAAGGAGGCCCCCCCTTCCGGCTTTTCTTTCCCATCTATTCCTTCTTATGCTGAGCTCTCCCCAGTAAACATACTCGCCTGCCCAGTGAATCCAGTGTTGTCCTGCTGCGATCCCTGGATCCAATGCCAAAGCCCCACAATGCCACATTCTTGTGTGACATTGGGGAGCTGGCTGTCTCTTCTGGGTACTGCTGCTGGCCTCTGATGGGGAAGACCCTAGCCACTGTGAGTCCCTGCTCCTGCACCCTCCCAGGGTATGTGAAGTGCATCTCTCAGCAGCTGCGGGAGCAGGACATGTCATTCTTGACTAAGGGCCCGTTCTACCACATCCAGATTACCTCCAGACCAGACTGTTTCCGGACCCAAAATGCATCCTAATGTATCCCTATACTTTTGGCCTCTGTTCCCACCAGCGCAGTCCGTCCCAGACCAGAAAAATACTCCTTGTCCTATTTTGTCTGGTCTGGATCAAAAACGAATGGAACGCACCTGTAAGACCATTTTAAGTTGAAAAAAAAATCAAATCGCGGTAAAAAATGGCAAAAATGCAATGCACTATGTTGCAGATCTGGTCCAGAAAATGATGTGAACCCAGTCTAAGAGAGAATAGAGGCAGGTGGCAGGGCTGACTAAAAAAAAAAGTGGTGGTAGTGGTGGGGGGCTCAAAACATGTATTTTTATGGGTGACTAATGTCTTACATTTTACCCTTCTTTATGGAGTGCAGGAATCTGTGCTGGCTGGTCACAAGACTTGCATGGTCTTCCTTCTCTTCTTTTCTTGCCTAGCAATGGGTGTTCTTCATGGATGTGGAGTGCGGTGCTGCTTTTTCCAGAATTGTACTGCGAGTGCAGGATGCCATGATGACATACCATGGGTTGTGCCCATAATTTTGTGGGCTTACAGAGGGTGTGAAGAACCCTGGTGCTAGATGACTGAACAATAAGTGTGTAGGGAACAGTTCTAGGGAGGTAACTAGAGTTTACTAATGCTGAGCAGTGGATAAAATAAGTACCTGGAGTCCAGTGAGGTTACCGTGCCATGTTAGACAGCCCATAAAGCCATGTTTCTTTATTATGATAAAGTGCCACAAAGTGGTACAGCAGGTACCACAGTGACTGCAGCCAATATTCCTCCATCCACGCGGGTCTGAACGAGAAATAAAAAAGGCCAATGTATGGCCAGCTTAGGGTTGGTAGGTGATTTACGGCTCAGAGCTCCACTTTCTAAGCCGTATTGATTGCTATGAATTTATCATATATTTAAATCATCTAACGTAGGTGCTAAAAACTGGGCACTTTGGTTTTCATTGCATAATTTCTGTTAATGGGATGAAATTGCTTCCTTTGCATCAATTGATCTCAGTGACGGCAGAATGAATATTATGGTATGGCTTTGCGTTTAATACACAGACCGTAATTGACATTTCAATCTCTTCTCTTTACAGAGTCTCCTCCTCCCCCATATTCTCGTCTCTCTCCACAATATGAGCAAAAACCTCTGGGTGAGTTGTCGTGATCATTAAGCTGACGTGTGATTAATTTGCAGAGAGACTTTTCAGTCTTGACAAGTAATGCGATGTTATCAGCCGAATTACCAGAGTTCAGTGGACTTAGTGGTGTACATTCCTTCTGAGAATCGCACAGCCTCCAGTGTCTGTTCATCATGGAGGTTGCATTTGGCTAATAATGTGTGGAATTGAACCTAATGCGTCCTTAGTGAGTTGGATGTGTATATCTTGCTTTCCAAATTCCATTCATTATGTGGATAGGGTGTGGTGTTCTTACTTTTCCAAACATTTTCTGCCCCATTGTAAGCTGTGAACATCTGACAATTGTCAAGACTCTGAGTCCTCTATTTACTCTTTGTGTAAATATTGTTCTCGTTATTTCAGTTTATCATTCACACAGATCAGATGGTAGGGAGGTGAATGGTGAGAATGTAATGCATTGATGTGTAAAGAGGGGTCTGGTGATGTTTAGGCTTATTATATATTAGCTACGTTTACCTTTTCTGTATATTACCGCCTTGTATATGACCTATTCTGACTATACTTCTCAAATACGTATTGCCTACCATTCTTAGTACAGTTCTTGTATATTATCTACTTTTCTTACTATACTTTATAAATGATCTACTATTTTATTATACTTATCTGTAGCAGGGCTAAAACACTGAAAAAACCACTTGCCCGGCACCCGGAACTACATGTCCCGGGCGTCGGGCGATACGAATTCCACACCCCTGTTACTATACTTCTTATATACTGCCTCCTCTTCTTACTATACTCCTTATATATTGCCCCCTCTTCTTACTATACTTCTTATATACTACCGCCTCCTCTTCTTACTATACTTCTTATATACTGCCGCCTCCTCTTCTTACTATACTTCTTATATACTGCCTCCTCTTCTTACTATGCTTCTTTATATATTGCCCCCTCTTCTTACTATACTTCTTATATATTGCCTCCTCTTCTTACTATACTCTTCTTGTATATTACCTACTCTTCTTACTATACTCATCTCACTATTCTCTTCTTATATAGTACTTATGCTTATATAGACTGTATCTTACACTGATGGCATTAATTAAAAAAAAAATGTCGTTCTGTTTTAACTGGTAATCTTTTTAGCTGGCAGGTTGTTTATTGTTATGTGCACATAGACAACAAAGGGTTTCCTCTAACAAGCTGTATTGCAGCCAGTGGAACAGCATGCATGGGCACTTCATTGAGCTTTAATGCGCACATATTATAATCCACACTTTAGGCCTGAAAATTACCTCAAACCCCGAAAACATTATATATTTTCTAAAAGCCAACACCCTGTAGAATGAAATGGTGGCAGTTGCAAATTTGTATGTTGCACCATATTGGCACAACTCTTTATCAAACCCAAACATTTTGTAAAATGGAGGGGCAGCGGAGCCCAGGAAATACTGGAGGGCGGGCACTTTACAGAGCCATAGAAGCGATCTGGTGGCAGCAAATTGCTTGTCATAGGCTCGGTTCACACCACCATGTTCCGATGGAGTGCTATTAGAAAAAGTACAGCATGCCCTGTTGAGCCCATAGAACTTAATGGAATGTTACTTGTGACATTTCAATAAAGTTCTACAAAAGAGTGCAATGCGGCCTGATCGAGCACATTGGCGCTGATAGTGTACATGCACACCAACAGCCGTGCGGTTGAGTGTGGCTGCTGGTGTGCATGTACCCTTAGGGCCTGTTCACGGCTGGCTGGAGGAATGTCTGCGGTGCCGTTGAAATGAATGGCACCATCACACCCCCTTCCACCCCAGAACGCGGGAAAGCTTTGTTTTTGTGATCCAATGTGTTCATGGCACAGATCCATGCCATGAACGCATTAAATGGTGTGAACAGGCACTTAATGTGTATGCGAACTCTAACAATGAGCGTCTCTTATTTGCTCCCTTTTGGTCTTTTAAACATTGCACTTACCAACGAGACATGACAAAACACTTTTGATTGCAAACTACCTGTTGATCCTGATAGAAATCCAGTGAGCTTGCAAGTTTCTGTGCTATCTATAGTGTTATTGACACTGCCCAGTTCACCTCTGTAAACTACAAGCGGAGCGGAGGTGAGTGGTGGTCTGTAGTTCAAACACACTTCCTGTCCTATAGCGAGAACATTGCTTCTCCAGTACAGTGACCCAAGGAGAGAAGGTATGTTGCTGGCGGGATCACCAGGTAAAAATAAATTGCGGGAGAGCCTGAAAAAAAAAATGGAGCCACCACATCTTATAATATACACTCCAAGGACATGCTGGTAGGTTAATTGGCTCCTGTCTGAATCAGCCCTGTACGTGTGCATGTGGGATGCGGACTATAGATGGAAACTCCTGGAGGGCAGGGCCTGATGTTGTTGTGGACTCTGACATCAAGAATCCGACATATATCTGTTCCTGGGCCTAATTCAGTACAAAGTATGCATACTATCAGTGAAGAAATAAAACATGCTGACACCGATAGTCAGAGTAAAAATACTTCTTTATTATTGTTGCGCATTGTAGTGTTTTTATATAGGCGGCTGATAGTGTATATGTAAACATAGCATTTGCGATAGCTTTCTAGGTTATAATTGGACTGCTTCATTAAAGCGTAACCTCCTTCCAGGGTGCTGACGTCCTCGTCTTGGGTGCAGTTTCTCCTGGAGGCGCCATCTTGGTTTCTATTTCTAGTGCGTACTTTTCATAGGAGGGGGGGGTGCTAAGTTACACAATATATTGAAATAGGCATTTTATCATAGTCACTTAACCACATCCATTACAATGTGACTGTGCACGATGTATAAAATTGTCAGCGCTGTATAAATACTAATAAATGGGGTTTCGATGCACTTTAAATATTTAAGCTGGCCGTACCGTATTCGAATTTCGGTGGCATCCCTCGATCAGCTGATCAAAGGAGCCGGCCAGAAAATCTTCGATCGATCAGAGCCAGCAGCCAATGAGCTGCTGGCTTTGTTCAGGTGTTCTGACAGCGCCTGGCGGCTACTGTCAGACTAATGCAAAGAGTGGGGATTCCTCGATTAGAGCTCATACGCGTTGATGGAGGAATCTGTAATATTTTCTTTGTTCAGCCCGCGGGTGTATGGCCAGCGTTGTGCTCCATAACTATCGGCATTAGAGAATAGCGTATGGAACGATGTCGCTTGTGAAAGTACAACCCCTTTGTAAATTCGGCGTTGCTGTCGTGGCCATTCTTACAATGGCGTTTTTTGATCTGCTCGGCGTGCCGTGCTAGGATGCTTGTTTTGCAGGCGAAGGTTCAGAGCGTTTCATGGAGAGAGAACAATACGGGTTACTTGTTAAAACAAAGTTTCTTGTGCTTCAGTAGCAGATGGAGGAAGGAAGGAAACCTGCAGGAATAAACAGCTTCAAGAATGTTAATGTGGGTAATTAAGTATGGTAACTATGAAGCATTTAAAGGCTTTGTGTAACCTTATCCTTCCAGCACCATGTTCCAGCCTGCTTTGTGGTCAGGGCAGTTGAAATTTTACATGCTACAGACAAAAAAGAGGGGGGGGATGGGGGGGTGTAATAGGAGGAGGGCTTGTAGACCCTGCAGGCAGCACACATCCTCGGGTGACTTGGTGACATTCGGCTAAACCTCTCCACTTACCTGTGCTGGGGAAAAGTCAAGTGTCACTTAGACGTGTTTTTCTTTTTTTGCAGTTAGGTTGGGGAGAGGTGAACTGAATTGCAATGAATAAAGAAGAGAACTCTGGGAATTAAAACAAAAAAAACACCACACTCTTGCAGTGGGGCTGCCCGCACATTGCAAGGGTTAAGTGTGCAGTTTGCTATGGGTCAAATAAAGCTGCATTGCTTACCTGATCCTTAGTGCCACGGCGGTTGGCACTCGCCTCTCTTCCCCCTCCACTCCGGCAATGGATTGTCCCTAGGTGCCCTTAGGTCTGATGCCGGCAATGGATTGTCCCTAGGTGCCCTTAGGTCTGATGCCGGCAATGGATTGTCCCTAGGTGCCCTTAGGTCTGATGCCGGCCATGGATTGTCCCTAGGTGCTCTTAGGTCTAATGCAAGTCAATGGACCTGCATTAGACGTGATGACTTCAGTGGTCCTTAGACCACCGGAGCCCAGGGGAGAAGAGAGTGCAGGGATTGGTCTAGCAGCCTGGTAGGACTGAGGATAAGGTAAGTATGTTATCACTTCCATTACAGATCCTGATCGGAAGGAGATATCATATCGCTAGGAACAAAACTATGCAAAACATTCAATTCCACGGGTACGCAACCTCTGCATTCCAGCTGTGGTGAGAACTACAAATTCCATCATGCCTCTGAAAGTCCATGCCTGTCAGTCTTGCAATGCCTCATGGAACTTGTAGTTCTATAACAGTTGGAGTGCTGTGGTTGCCTACCCTTATGCTAGATGGTTCAAATTGATCAGACCTCATTTTTAAGTGTATGCCTTGAATTTGGAGCAAGCTGTACATAGTAACCAACCCCCTTGGATAGCAGCATTGTCACCCTATGGGGAGGGTAATGTTAGATGACACTAAAAGATATATAAATGTTTGTACTAGGGATGCACCGATACCGGTATTTCGGTTACGAGTACCAATTATATTTATTCTTTTGATACTCTCTGATACCGGAAATCCCATTAAGGAAGCCAAGCGGCGTGTAATGACTCGCTACCTGGCTTCCTGATTAGCCTGGAAGCCGGGCGGCGTGTAAAGACTTGCCATCCTGCTTCCCGATTAGCAGGGAAGCCGTCCCCATGCTTCTCGTCACTGGGTGACAAGAAAGCATGAAGCCAGTGACGGTCAGTCATTGCTTCCTGCAGGGATTCCCCTCTCTGTTCCTTCAGCGATCATTGGGGGAACAGACAGTGGAGGGAGGTGGGCGCAGCTGGCTCTGTCTCTGGAGAGATAGAGCCAGCTGTCAGGAAGCCGGGTGGATCTCTGCAATATTGTTGGGATCCTTCCCAGGCAGTAGCCCGCTATATACTGGCTTTGAGTCACAAGAGTACATCATTAAATCCGACCCCAAAGAAATGGTTTGTCTCATCCCTCTGTCTGCCACTTCTGCTGGACAGCTTGGCCTGTTAGTGACACTACACTCAGGAGTTCAATCTTAAAAATGCATTCAAGTACCTTAACTATTAACAAAAATGTATCTTATTCATGTATCACTCGGCTGTAGATCCTCAAATCATCTCTGAATTGGTGCTGACACTGTCCTTCCTTCTGGAGGGTGGATACTTTTGTTCTCCATGGCCCCTGTGTGTGTTGTAAAGTAGCTACCGCTCCAAGCAGTTGATCGCATGTAATTGTGTATGTTGTGATTACCTGCGGGTGTTCGCTACCGTGTGCAGAGTGCGTGCAGACTGTTTGCCAACGTCTGCAGGCACTGACAGCTGTCATTGTATAATACAGAGTGTACCATCCACAGCAAATTGCATGAGTCTCATGGAGCAATTCATGAAACTCATGTGATGATTCTGTGTACTCACCAAGATGTGAGGTTTGGGCAAATCTCCCCAACAAATGACAGCAGTAAACTCCTAACCTGTACCTCCTCTGCTTGCTTTGTTCACTCTGCAGCTTCCAAGGATCTTCCTCATTGATGTTTTGTTTTATTTTCAGATCTCTCCGATTCATACACTGAAATGGATGCCTCCAGTTCACTCTGTATATCTGCTGGTGATGTGCCAGGTATGTATCCTAGGTGTACAATGCTGTCCTGTCAGTATGGGAATGTGTACACTGTATGGCTGGTATAAACTAAGATTTTGTGACCCGGTATAGTTTGTACCATACTGAAATGTGAAAATGTCATACATCGCCTGTTCTGGGAGAAAAAGTGCAGACCTGGCCAATAGTGATCATTCACATGCCTCATTCCCTCAGATTAAACCTGGTTGGTCTCTTTGTTTTTACAATACCATTATTTCCTGCAGCCTTTAGAAAGGTGTACCGTATGTCTGATTCTCTTGGCACTTATGTATGAATTTTTATGACTATTGTATGCGATGAGCTGATCACAGTTCTATATGTTGTTGAGCTGGTCACGGTTTTCGTATGTTGGGCTGGAGGCGCGATTCCGTATGTTGGGCTGGAGGCGCGGTTCCGTATGTTGGGCTGGAGGCGCGGTTCCGTATGTTGGGCTGGAGGCACGGTTCCTTATGTTGGGCTGGAGGCACGGTTCCTTATGTTGGGCTGGAGGCGCGGTTCCTTATGTTGGGCTGGAGGCGCGGTTCCGTATGTTGGGCTGGCGGCGCGGTTCCCTATGTTGGGCTGGAGGCGCGGTTCCGTATGTTGGGCTGGAGGCACGATTCTACCCGTTGAACTGGAGGCACGGTTCTTGTTCTAGACTGGCTTCCTGATGGTGACCATGGTGGACAATGCCTGCCCAGTGTTTACCAGCACAGCCGGCAGTCTCTTTCAGGAACACGTGACAGCAGAGTAGTACAATTGAAGGACGGTTGTCTCCCCATAACAGGAAGTGCCTGGGCAAGGACCTTCATGGCAGGATCACCAAGTTACTGAAAGCTGCCGATTTTTAAAAAGGTTGAAAGCAAGTTTTGGCATGAATGAGTTAAAGCTTACATGAGTTTTGGGTTCCTCTTTCCAAAATGAAGAGAAGTATGACTTCTGCTTTCCATAGCCAATAAATAGAAAGGCTTTATATTTTTTTGCTGCATAAATAGAACTTTGTTTGGGAAGGTTCTTATTGTATTTTAGGGAAAATGCCAGTCTTCCTTATTTCAATCATCATCAGCTGCTGCTAGATTTGAAGGAAACCTACCTCTGCTGACCTCTATTTGTATATGATATAGGGACCATAGATTGTAAGCTCTTTTGAGAGCAGGGACCAGTGTGGTTGTACAATATGTAAAGCGCTGCATGAATTGTCAGTGCTGCCTATGGAAATCTACTAGTTTATGGCCAGTTTTATATTAAGGGTGAGAAATCAAGTGTTGGAAGAAGGATACAGGTTGGCCCATAGGGAAGGGTGAAGGGAATGGGGGGATAATATAACATAGTTTTCTTTTTGATTGCTTGTAGACATTAGATGAATGTTTAAAGATGAGTGGCAAACAATTGGTATGTAAATATTGACCATGTGTATGCACCCCGGAGACACCCACGGAGCCGGAATTATCTTAGAACAATAGTAATCAGTGGGAAAAATCCAAGCTAAGATCAGACAACTAAAGCTTGTTTGTTTACACCACATGGTGCTCATAGATATGCGTTTGTCTCCCAATGCCTGCATAATTGGCCATGTTGTGGGAAGATCTTGTCCTGTCTGTAGACCTAAAGGCAAAACTCCAGAGAAAAAGATAAATTCACCGCTGAAATACAAGTGTTTTACCTGCCAAAGAATTTATCATTCTGTTCAGCTAGTCTTGTGAGCCTGATGCCCTTTCCACACTACTAAGGCTGGCCATAGACTTATAGAACTCTAGCATATACCTCCATCCATTCTGAATGGCATGGATTGAGGAATCTCCAACTACAGCTATTGTATTTTGACAGCTGGCCAGGCTCCTTTGATTTTTCAATCAAAGTATGTTGGGCAGAGGACAGCCAAACCAAAGAAAACAGCTAAGCGTATGAGTGATATATAGAATCACAGTCAAAATATGTGTGAACTGTCTTATCTGACAGAGAAAATTTAATTCTGTCCTGATGGTTTTCTAATCCAGATATCCCTGTCCGGCAGCATAACTAGATTGTGACCAAGGCAATTCTCCACTGCACTTTAATGCATCTGGGTCAGGGACCACCCCAGCCAGTGATTGTATCGTGACCGGTCTTCTACACCTTTTAATGTCATTTTGCAGCATGCTGTGCAGGGAAAAGGAGCTTAAAATAGAACTGAAGCCAATTTTTTATTTTTGGATAGAGTAAGTTAGGGTTATCACTCCTGTCGGCTTTTTTTGTCATCTGTATCCCATTGGGGAAATTTCCCTTCATTTCCTGTCTAATGGCCAAAACAGGATGTGATCAGCTGCACTGGCCAGCAGGGTCACCAGAACTAGTGTCCCCATTGGAAGATGTCCCATCTGTTGCAGTGACAACCCAAAATGTGGGATTTTCTTTCACTTTCAGTGATAACGGTCGCCGGGATAAATAAGGAGGGTGAATTTCTCTAACGAGGACACAGAGCAATCCCTAAAAACCTGTCAGGGGTTCTAATCCCTCTCCACGCTATCCAAAGCTAAAAAAAAGATGTTTTAGCTTCATTTGCACTTTAATAGAGAAGAAAGGGGAAAGATACTATTTTAAAACGAAATAATAATTTATTATTTTTATTATTCTGGTTACGGTAGTAATGTAAGTCATTTTGATAAATGCGTAGGTGAGATAGATTCTAGAGATTTTACATCGGCCAACATTTCTGCCTCTTGTATTGACAGGAGTTATTTAATATTGTATGTACACCATCACAACGATAGTTATCATCAGCTATTCTCTGAGAAGGAAAGCTGACCTCAGTGCTGTGATGCTTAATAATCTTATTTATGGGAGTAAAGAAAACAAACCTCCACCCTTCAGTTCCCCAGTCACTTTAATAAAGCCTCTGATGGAACTGGATAGAAATGCCTGGGCTTATCCCTGTTCTTTATGGGGACAGGTCCGGGCAGTTTGTAGTTATTAAAGGAAGACGAGACAAAAAGCTTGATCCTCCACAGCTTGGTGGCCATGAATAATGGAGGAGAACCCGACCTTCCAAATTATACCTTGTGGCACAGTTGCCTTCATTTACTACAGGGTGCAATGTGCAGGACAGTTATATACGACAGCCAGTCAAAGTTGTTCCACGTGTGGTTAAGCTTAGTAAAGAGAAAGTGATATGGTCTACAGGAGATCACATCGAAGACAGTAATTTAGGGTCGGAGTGTCAACTAAGGTACAAAAATATATTTTATTCAATGACATTTAGAGTACAGGTTACCTTGACAAAACAACACCACCACCTGACACCCTATTAAAAGATGGTTGGTCCAACCATTCAGACACTCACTTCATACATGCATTCACGGACAAGCTGATTAATGTAAGTATAAGAACCGGTGGAGCTCTCAATGTTCAAATTGAAGCTGACAGCATGTGAAAACAATGTGGCGATCACCCCTCTGAAAAAATGTGGAGTGTGACTGGGGGGGGGGGAGTGTTTGCTGCAGATAGTGACTTCCACTGCAGGATATAAAGTTCAATATGTCCCAATGTATCAATGTAGCTAGTAACAGATGATCACTTTTTTAACCCTTGCAGTGATAAAGTACTATGTGTGAAACGTATTGAATCAAGGATATCCTCATCCGGATTTCACTTCTTGGGTCAGAGTATAGTCCCGCACAGTGGTGGTTAAATATCTCCTGGTAATTGATCTCATGCAGCGGTGGTGGTTAAGCTGGCCATTCACCAGTTAAATTTACTTTAAAAATTAAAGAAACGTTCCAATAAATATTTCTATTACAGGAGTTGTAAAGTCCCAGCATATCCTATCCGGTTATAACATCAGCATTGTAATAGAGTTGTTTTTGATAATACAATGTGACCAGTGCTGGCTGGAACTACAGGACAGACGAGGGGGCGGGCACAGCTGGCTCTGGATCTAGAGAGGCGTAACCAGCTGTCAAGTAGGCAGGTGGGTGTTCCCAATAATATTGTCAGGAATCCCTACCTTTGCAGTGCAGCTTTGCGTGGTCAGCTGATGGCGGGCATCAGCCTGCTATCAACTGATTTTGGGTTACAGGAATACATTAGTAAATGTACTCCTGTTACCCAAAAGAAAAGTAAAGCCGCAAAAAAAAATAAACTTTAAGTTGCGTGTCTCCTCGGCCATAAAGCCCTACCTCCCTAGCAATTTTGTTTTTTATTTTTGATTCCACTTTACCTCCTAACTGCATGTCAAAAGGGGCCATAGATCATGAGATATAGGCATTTCAGGGTTCATATGTGATCAACAGCAGCTTGGTCCTTCCCCAGCCCACTCCATGACGTGTCACAAAGTGACCCTGTAGACAGACCATTCATTTTAATAACAACCTTCCCATTGAACTTGTTTTATGCATGTTATTTACCTGTAAAAGACATCCAGATGGCTCTTAGACTGCTACTGGGTGCCGGCTTTTTGTATGTAATGTCTGTTACATGGTTATTCAGGGTGGAAAAGGACACAAGTCCATCTAGTTCAAACTATAAATGTAATGTCAACAGCCCCAGCAGACTTAGAGCTTGACACTTCATATTGTTCCCTTGGCATCTACATTAAAATTATGTAGGGAGGAACAGGGCAGCTGGGCCAGCCCTGAGAGTAATTACCATCCCAAAAAAATGGAGAAGCCTATGGCATGCAAGGAGGCATGGGGAACTGTGGCTGTGCTATGGACTCTTGGAGGATTCAAATTTCCTAGCAAGTTCAAAGGGACATACAAAGTGAATTAAACAAATTGTTTATGTAAAATGCTGCAAGTAGTCATTAAAAATATTTGATTTCTCTTCTTTAGGTTGGTGACAGGGTCTCTTTTTTTAATGGGATTGTGTTGTCCTAGCAATATATATTTTTTTAGATAAATGCCTATAAGAAAATAGCATGCACTATTTTTGGCGATCGCATCTGACTGCAGGCATTGCTGTCCTACACATTCTGGTGCGGGCGATCGCACTGCGGGCAGAAGGCGAGTTTGCGGTGCCATTGA